AATGTTCTCATCTTCCGTATGAGGGTATCCAGACCTGTTCTAAAAGACACTTAGAGTTCCCTTCTTTTCACCTCAGAGCCGGCGAACGGTCTGCCAAAGCACCGTATTTGCCGTGTGGAAATTCGACTCCAACATGTCACCGAGCGACTCCCAGGAATTAGCTTTGGCTTTCGCCGCTGCTTTTGCTCCTGCCTTGACGTGCTTGGACTTATCGTATGCAAGTAGACCGTTCTTTGTTTTCAAGCCATTTCTTGAATGCAGATTTCATCTTAACTATCAGTTGTACCTCTCGTGTCTACCAGGAAGTACTTTTCAGACTTCCATGCGACAGGTCAACCACATTGAGTACGCAGCATTCAGCGGCAGCCTCGAGGATGTCGCTCTTAAAGAGCTGCCGCTCGGTTTCCACATCATGGTCATCACCGGAATCTGTTCAAAGCATAGTGCGATGTTGTTTTCAAATTTTGCTCTCGTGTCCACCGAAGATAATGTTGCCCGTTTGATTCTCTGGTTGCTTCTGCTACCCCTTTTGCATGGTACTCTATTCTTCACAGCGCAGCATGCTAACAGCAAAGTGGTGATCGGTTGACAGACCTGCGCTTTTCTTAACGCGATCATCCATGACAGAGGGTCGTAAGTCAAACGATACGATTGTCAAATCGATCATCGACTTCCATGCACAAATATCCCTTTACCAGCTGTACTGGTGGACTCGTCGATGCTTGAAGGTGTTCATAATAGATAGTCCGTTGCTTGCACAGTACAGCAAGAAGTTCATGCCGTTATTGTTGAGGTCGCTAGGACCGTTCTTTCCAATCACGTCTTTCCACTTCTCAGTGTCTACTGCAACATGCGCATTAAAATTGTCCATAAATGTGAGGGACTCCGTGTTCGGCACTTCTTACAGAGCACACTGCACTTCCTCAAGGAAGGAATATTCTCCCTCGAAATTGGGCGGTTAAACCTGTGGAATGGTCAGTGTTTTAGCCTGTTTTAGCTTCAGTTGGAGAATTGCCATCCTTCCGCTTATAGGCTTCCATTAAATGATTCTATCAGTCATATTGGGTTCTGGCAGAACACCACCACCCTCCTGAGCGCGCATCATGTTATCGATACCTGAGTAGAATTATTTCCACGCAGAGGTTCAAGATTCAAGAGCTTTTGTGCTTCGCTGACGAGAGTGCAACAGTTTGGAGTTGGTATCTTATGTCCTCATCAACTAACTCTTGCTCATTCCCTCTAAGTGTGGATATATTGCAATTTCTGACTGTAAGTTCCTACTGGCGGGGTTGTTTTCGTGGAACTTTTCTGACGTGCTATAACTGCATT